GAATAGTGTAAAGAAAACAGATACAGTAGAGGTACAATCGATTATGAATGAGAAGAGAAGATTCTCGGAACCAAAAAATGAAATTATACAAAGACGAAAGAGAAATAGTAGGGTGACAATAATAAAAACTTTACCATCACCTTTCTTAGCTGAATTTCAACCCTCTAGTCCTACAAAAGAAATTTTGGAAAGTTCAAATGATGAATTTGATGACTTTAACATAAACAATAAAAGAACCTGTTGTTATGGTAACAACCACCATAGTAATAGTAATAATAATAATAATAGTAATAGTAGTAGTGCTAGTAATAGTATTTGCAGTATTCATACTAGTACCAAGAGTTTAAAGCATGAGAGTAGTACTTCCTCAATGTTTAAATACGGAGAACCTCCTATCAATGGAAGTATTACCCCTATTTTTAAAAAAGGACTACTGTATAAAATAGTACCACATGATGGAACATGGTATTTCTATAATGACACTGTTAAATATGAGATGAATGTGCAGTTTATATTTAGTAGTTCTTCTAAACTTATTCCTGGTCCAAAAACGACAGTGAAACGTCTTTCATCTGGAGAGTATGAGGCGCACCTTGTTGTGATGCCAGGTGATACAGAAGAATTTATATCAGGAGATATAAATGGATATAAAAATATCTGCACAGCACGTGATGTAGGAGAGAAATATAGAAACAAACATGTGGAACGGCAAACTGATGCTATTTATTCTCAACTGAATGATATCGCTAATTTTATCGGTAAACCTATAAAGGACTTAACAGAGGAAGATGTACTACAAACTTGTAAACTTATGGAGAACTCTCCTGGTTTTATTGACCCTATTTTTGGACCCTATCACTATTCCTTATATCGCCCTAAAATAGATAATATCTTTCTCTATGCATTACCATGGCGACGTCCACAGGAGTACATTCCCGTAAGTGAAAAGAATGAATGTCGTTTATTTCGTGCTTCTGTTTCTCCTCATGATGTGCAGCGTGGGAGTGGAGGAGATGCGTATCTTATTAGCGCCATGACTATTTTAGCAGAGTTTCCCATGAAAGTACGAGAACTATTTCGACATCCTGTGTGTATAGAAGATGGAAAAGCTGAACGACAGCAACACGCCTATCGTGTTACTCTTAACTACTCTGGCTGGTGGAGAACTGTGTTGGTGGATGATTATTTGCCGGCCTCACTGCACGCACCGGAGTTCGCCCGCTGCGAGAGGGATTTACGTAAACTGTGGGTTTCTCTTCTGCAAAAGGCATACGCTAAATTGTATGGATCCTACGCGGCTATTCAGTACGGCGATACATTAGAGACATTGCAGGACTTTTTAGGATTTCCCACTTGTCGCTTTGATGATGAATGGGCCGCCGCCTTTGTAGATGGACCATCCTCCAGTAGTAGTCGAAGTCTTTTTCTTACTATTGAGTCTCGTCATCACTCGGGATATATTGTCTGCTTAAGTACACCAGATGATGAATCTGCTGAGGCAACACTGCAAAGGTTTGGAATGCACTTTGGCCTCTCATATTATATTATGGATATTGTCCGGCACGGTCAACGTCGTTTGTTAAAATTGCGATGCTCTCATGGAATCTCTGAAGGCCATTATACAAACCTCTCACAGCATATAAGCTTTTACAAACCATCCCAAGAAGAAGAAAAAGAAGAAAAAGAACATAATAATAATAAGAGAGAAGAAGAAAAGGAAGATGAAGAAGGGGCATTATGGTTAGATTGGTCTGAGGCATTACGTCTCTTTGATGGTGGTGGTATATGCACGACACGCTTTGCATATAAAGATTATCGAGTGCGTGGTAACTTTAACGCCTGTATGCCTAACGTAGTAGTGAAGATTGATATTACTGTAGGATTGAATGCCTATTGTATACTCTCGCAGCCAGACAATCGTGGTAATGTTAATACCACTGATAATAATGAGTCCCTACTTCCATTGATGCTCTGCGTAACTCTTAGTAGTTCAGGTGAGAAAGATTTACAGTATTTTGATGTTTGTGCCTCCACAGTTCCGGATTTAACAACTTTTCAACAGGACTTTATAGTTGCACGGGATATCGCTCTACATTATAAATTTGATCCTAGATGTAGTCCATATTATATTATTCCACGTGTTTATGGGAATACGGGAATACTACCCTACACTATAGGCCTTTTAACAGATCGAATGATTGACAATAATGCCGTTCGTGTGAATTTTGTTCAATTTCCAAATGAATTACCAGAAATCTTAGAAACTATTTCTGTATTAGACACATCACCAGTAGAGACAGATTACCAGATTCGTAGAAGTACTGGTATTGTTAAAGTAAAACGTGGTACAGGTATTCATAGCGATGAATCCTCCCTTCATGAAGAAAAGTGATAGGGAAACTCACTATCACTATTACTATCACTATTACTATTACTATCACTATTAACCACAGGTGGTGTACGTTCGCCCCCACAGCTGATTACATTGTTTGCATTTGTTTATTTCCATGTAATTTTATGTACGAAACTCTGTGTTTGCTTTGTTATCTGAAAGAAAATGGAAACAAATGTGTATACAAAATCCTGCGTAGGAAAAAGATAACGAAGCCCAAATGGAAGTGTTTCTTTTATTTTTGTTGTTTCTTTCTTTTTTTTTACTTCCTGCGTCTGCATTTTATTTGCATTAGGCATTTTTTGTACCATTCTTTTTATTCCTATTTGAACAGCACTTGTTTTGTTTTTATTCTTCTTCTTTTGTTGATGATGATGACAATGAACTTACCCATGAACGTACTCTTGTGACTAAAAAAAAAAAAA